CAGTGTAAGAGGGTTCCTTTTTCCCCATCCTCTAACACCTGTTTTGTGGTGTTGCTAATGATGGCTATTCTAACAGGGGTGATGGAATCTTAGTGTGGTTTTAATTTGCATTTCCTTTATTGCTAGGGATGGTGAGCATTTTTTCATGTGTTTTTTGTCCATTTGAATTTCTTCTTTTGAGAAAGTTCTGTTTAGTTCACTTGCCCATTTCTTTATTGGTTCATTAGTTTTGGGAGAATTTAGTTTTTTAAGTTCCCTATATATTCTGGTTATCAGTCCTTTGTCTGATGTGTAGCTGGCAAATATTTTCTCCCGTTCTGTGGGTATTCTCGTGGTTTAGAGACCATTTCTTTTGTTGAGCAAAAGCATTTTAGTTTTATGAAGTCCCATTTATCTGTGCTATCTCTTAGTTGCTGTGCTGCTGGGGTTTCGTTGAGAAAGTTCTTACCTATACCTACTAACTCCAGAGTATTTCCTACTCTTTCCTGTATCAACTTTAGAGTTTGTGGGTCTGATATTAAGATCCTTGATCCATTTTGAGTTAATCTTGGTATAGGGTGATATACATGGATCTAGTTTCAGTTTTTTGCAGACTGCTAACCAGTTTTCCCAGCAGTTTTTGTTGAAGAGGCTGTCTTTTCTCCATTGTATATTTTTAGCACCTTTGTCAGAGATAAGTTGGTTATAGTTGTGTGGCTTCATATCTGGGTCCTCTATTCTGTTCCACTGGTCTTCATGTCTGTTTTTGTGCCAGTACCATGCTGTTTTTATTGTTATTGCTTTGTAATAGAGTTTGAAGTCGGGTATTGTGATACCTCCAGCGTTGTTCCTTTTACTGAGTATTGCCTTGGCTATTCGTGGCCTCTTGTGTTTCCATATAAATTTAACGGTAGATTTTTCAATCTCTTTGATGAATGTCATTGGGATTTTGATGGGAATTGCATTAAACATGTAGATTACTTTTGGGAGTATCGACATTTTTACTATGTTGATTCTACCAATCCATGAGCATGGGAGATCTCTCCACTTTCTATAGTCTTCCTCAGTCTCTTTCTTCAGAAGTTTATGGTTTTCCTTGTAGAGGTCCTTCACATCCTTTGTTAAGTTTACACCTAGGTATTTGATTTTTTTTTGAGGCTATTGTAAATGGAATTGTTTTCATATATTCTTTTTCAGTTTGTTCATTATTAGTGTATAGAAATGCTAATGATTTTTCTATGTTGATTTTATATCCTGCTACCTTGCTATAGCTGTTGATGGTGTCTAGGAGCTTTTGAGTAGAGTTTTTTGGGTCTTTACGGTATAGGATCATGTCATCTGCAAATAGGGCTATTTTGACAGTTTCTTTACCTATTTGTATTCCTTTCATTCCTTCTTCTTGCCTAATTGCTCTGGCTAGGAATTCCAGTACTATGTTGAATAGGGAGTGGAGATAGTGGGCAACCTTGTCTAGTTCCTGATTTTAGAGGGAATGGTTTCAGTTTTTCTTCATTCAATATAATGCTGGCTGTAGGTTTGTCATATATGGCTTTTATAATGTTGAGGTACTTTCCTTCTATTCCTAGTTTTCTTAGCGCTTTTATCATGAAATGGTGTTGGATCTTATCAAAGGCTTTTTCTTCATCTATTGAAATGATCAAGTGGTTTTTGTCTTTGCTTCTCTTAATGTGGTTTATTACGTTTATTGATTTTCATATGTTGAACCACCCCTGCATTCCTGGGATGAAGCCTACTTGGTTGTGGTGAATGATCTTTTTGATGTGTTGTTGAATTCGGTTTGCCATTATTTTGTTGAGGATTTTTGCATCAATGTTCATTAAGGAGATGGCCTATAATTATCCTTTTTGGAGGTGTCTTTGCCTGGTTTTGGGTAAGTGTAATTCTTGCTTCATACAATGTGTTAGGCAGTTTTCCTTCCCTTTCTATTTCATGGAACAGTTTAAGGAGGGTTGGTATCAGTTCTTCTTTAAAGGTCTGATAGAATTCAGCAGAGAATCCATCAGGTCCTGGACTAGAAAAGTACATTCTTATACTATGACAGATAATTATTTTGCTGATGAGAGAGAAAGAAGAAACAGACATTTGTTGAACCTATTGTATGCCATTCTTAAACATTCATCTCACATTTTAATGCCTCATAATAACTAGGAAATAGGTTGTACTATCCCTACTTCACCCAAAACAACATTCAAGGCACAATGCAAACCCTGGTCTTTCCACTAAATCTCACATCCATAAACTCAGGAAAAATGAAGAAAACCCTTCAGAGGAAGCTAATTAACAAGTGTAGTTAATACTACCAAAATGAAGCCCACAGATACTCAGGGGTGCTAATTAAAGCCAGATAAAGGAAGACATAGTTAAGCATAACTTCTGGGCAAAGTCAAACATGAGTTGATTACTTGAGGAGATACAGGCCATGGATTGACAGAGTAATAAAAGCTCTAAGGAAGGAAGGAAGTCAGGTGACAAGGAGACTAACTTAACTGAAGCAGAAGAGATACAGGAAAAGTAATGAGAGCAATTGTTCAACTCCACAGGCATTTGCCAAACTTCAGCTCTGTGCAAGGCACCGAGTTAAAGGATAGGGAGGATGCAAATGAAAAGAAATAATTCCGGGTTGGTGGTGTGGCTCAAGTGGTTAGAGTGCCTGTCTAACAAGAGCAAGGCTCTGGGTTCAAACCCCGATACCAAAAAAAAGAAAAGAAAGAAAGAAAAAGAAAAAAAGATAAAAGAAATAAATTCTACTCTTTAAGAGTTTTACTTAAATGGAAGAGATCAAATCTGCTCCCAAATAACAATAGTGACAAGGCAAAATGGAATGTGAACTATGTATAGTGTGAAAATAAACCAAACGCTGTAGGATACATGGAGGGAGGGTGAATCAGGACAGACTACGTAAAGGAGGTAGCATTTCAGTTTGGTCTTGAAGGATGAGAAAATAGGATCTCAATAGGTAGCAATGAGGAGGAATACCCTGTGCCACCAAAGAGGAAGAGAAAGGTAAAGAGCTTAAAAGAAAAATGAGTCGTACCAAGTGGTCCACAATGAGCAAGCCGCAGCAAGAAGACTTATGTGCTCTATAGCAAAGGAGGTATCTAAGGAAGCTATGTTTCCAAAAAATGAACTAAGGAGTTCATTTGTAGGAATGGAAACTATGAAGTATTGGAGAGGAAGAGAGGGAGTTTGCTACAACAGCTAAGAGTAATACAGTAATCAGGCGCAGGGAAACGAATGCTGAGACCAGTGAAAGAGTAGAACAGAAGTTCTCCCTTCAAAGTGTTCTGGTTTACACAGTAGTACTTAGTATGGGTAGCGTGAGCCTGTCCCTGAAAGGATGCCCACTCCCTTCTGAGACTAAAAGGCTCAAACATGAAGCCTTTTGTTATGGAAATTATATGAGAATTTTTTTCAAAAAAAGAAGCTCTGCTTTGTGGCTCTTCCAAGAATGTGTAGGTTAAAGAGTCAGAAAGAACATATGGAACATTGTTGGGGTGTCAGTGGAGAAGGCTGGCTGTCTGACTCATCTGAGAAGTGGGGCACTGCTTTTTCCTTCATACAGGTGCCATGTCCAGAACTCATTCTTCAGAAAGTTGCTTTTGTCCGCACTGTCTCAGAGACACACTCACCTTCCCAAGATCAAAGCTAATGGATAATCTAAAATACTTTGGAAGGAAAAAAATTATAACTGCCATAATCACCAAGAAGAGCAGAGACACACATATTCCTGCCATTGGTACACAACCCTAACCACACACACACAACCCTAAGCCTTCTCCAAGCAACGGTGTGCCCCTGCTATACCCCTTCTCTAAGCTTCATTTCTGGCCAGCTCTCCCTCTGTCCAATGGACACATTTGTCCTCTTTGCATGCCAATAGCGTCAATAAGGCTACAGCCACATCTTGCTATCCTCCCTTCTTAAGGGAACTGTTTTTCATTGATTTCACCACTCTGTATGGATTTTGTAGTTTTAACTCTTTGTAGAAACCCTTATTTTCCTTCTTGTAAATTTCTTTTTTTTTTAACTACACTGGGGCTTGAACTCAGGGCTTTATGCTTGCTAGACTTAGTAGGATTGCTAGGCAGGCACTCTACCACTTTAGCCACTCTACTAGCCCATTTCCAGATTTCTAATAAGAGCTAACTATGAGCCAGGCAGCAGTGGGTCACATATGTAATCCTAGCTATTTGGGAAGCTGAGATGGGGAGGATGTTGCCAACCCAGACAAACAGTCATGAGGACCCATCTCCAAAACTAACCAGAGCAAAATGAACTGGAGGTGTGGCTCAAGTGGTTAAAAAACAACAAAAAAGAGTTAACTATGCTTTATCTCCTTACATTGTCCATTGCCGTGGATATTTCTCTCTCCAAAATTCTGTCATTTGAACTCCAAGCAATTTTATCTTCTCTTCTTTCTTAGCTTCTTTGCTCAATTCCATTGCTTCATTTCTGTAACTGACTGACCCCTTAATACTTCAATTGTTTTTGCCTCACTGAAGAAAAGCTGCTCAGACATTTCCATACTTGTTACTCAAGTCAAAGTCCAGGTCACAGGCTCAAAAAAATTGAAGTACTTCTTGTTTTGCCTGTGCCCAAAATCATATTCACATTATTTTTTAAAAGGATGTTTCTCTTTGCTTACAAGGAATGTTTCTTTGGCAATGACCTTGTATTTATCACTATGATACCGTAAAACATAATGGGGAAGGGGCTGGCAGAGTGGATCAAGTGGTAGAGTGCCTGCCGTTAGCATAGAGCGCCTGCCTTTAGCAAGTGTGAGGCCCTGTGTTCAAACCCCAGTGCCACCAAAAAAACAAAACAAAACAAAATAAAAAAACATAATGGAGAAGGCTGAAGAATAATGCTGCTTTAAAAAATTCCAACCAGGTGCAGTGGCTTGTGCCTGTAATCCCAGCTACTCAGGAAGAGAAATCAGAAGGATGGTAGTATGAGGCCAGCCTGGGCAGAAAATCATCTGAATAAATAAACTGGGAGTGATGGCTTATGCCTATGATCCCAGCTATCTCGGGGGCATAGGTAGGGAGGATCACAGTGAAGGATGGCCCCAGGCAAAAACATGAGACACTACCTGAAAAATAACTAAAGCAAAAAAGGGCTGAGGTTGCCACTCGAGTGGCAGAGTGCCTGCCTAGCAAGCACAAGGCCCTGAGTTCAAATCCCAGTACCAAAAAAAAATTAAGGGCAGAATGTCATGTTATAGCTGATGGAATGAAAGGAATAGCTAGCTAATGAATTCTCATTACTATCTTGGAAGATGGCAAAGTTTTAATCATTCCTACCAGAGGTGAAAAATGTTCTTGGTGCCTCCATTCCCCTCCCTCTTCCAGCTGCAGTATGACTCATTAACTATTACACGAAGTCCTCTTAACTCTTCCCATACCTCCCCTGTGTTAGAGCCAACACGTTGGACTGAACCTGCTTTGTTCTTTGTGGATAGTCTGCCACCTCTACTGACTTCTCCTCAGGAATGTTGTTCTAGAAATAAATCTTCCTTCTCCCTGGGGTTCATGAGTCACACACAGAAGTTAATTCATTAGAGCAACTGGTTTTTCTTAGGCCCTTTGTAAAAGTATTTCAGAGAGTCCCTCATGATGAAGTGGAGAAAGTTGGGATCCTCCTAGGTTTCTTTCCAGCTCTTGCCTTATGTCCTCTGTTCTTTCTCTACCACCTTATATATGGATTTCACTGACAACCTTTACCTGCAAAGTCAGACCCAAAGCCAGAGCTTGTGCTGCCTGAAGCCAGAACTATGGCAACAAAGCATCATTACCCCACCTCTCAGCACCCCTCATTTATATTTAGAATTAAATCACACTCCACCAGACCATCCCATACCCTTTGCTGCCAACCGCACTTAGGAGATAGTATGCCAAAAAGTAACTCTAGAATCTGTTCAAAAGATGGAGCCCAGTTGTTAACCTATTTTTTTATTTTTTTATTTTAATTTTTAGGTTCATTTTTATAACAGAAGTGATCATTAAATATATTTTCACTATAAAACAATAACAAAACTGAAGTCCCCCTTGTTCACTAAGTGTTAACTTGCATTGCTGTATAATTTTTTAGTTGTCTGTATATTCTACAACATTTTTAAAATACAAGAAACACAATTAAAATATAATTCAAGGGTTGGGGATGTGGTTCAGAGATAGAGTGACTGTCTAGCAGATCTGAGGCCATATGTTCAATTCCTAGCACCATTAAAAAAAATAAAGTAAGCTGGGTGCCAGTGGCTCACTCCTGTAATCCTAGCTACTGAGGAGGCAGAGATCAGGAGGATTGCAGTTCGAAGCCAGCCTGGGTAAATAGTTTGAGAGACCCTACCTCGAAAAACCCTATCACAAAAAATTGGGCTGGTGGAGTGGCTCCAGGTGAAGGCCCTGAGTTCAAGCCCCAGTACCACAAAAAATTAATTAATTAATTAATTAAATAAAATTCAACAGTACTGAAGTATAAAGCATAAAAAAGGAATTTATCATCAGAACCTTGTCCCATTTTCACTGTTAACAATTTGATGGCAGCCTTCTAGACCTTTGTAAAGTACATATGTACGTATTTATATACATATGTATACACTTATTCAGATAGTCTTATGTTTGTATAAGTGGAACCATATCTGCTTTACAACTTTCTTTATTTACTTACTGTCTCCTGGCTTTCCATGTTATTGCATTTAGCTTTGTTTTGTTAACAGCTGCATAATACTCCAAAATTTGACCAGACACTGGTGGCTAATGCCTATAACCCTAGATACTTTGGAGGCTGAGATTGGGAGCATCAGAGTTCAAGGTCAGCCTGGGCAAATAGTTTGTGAGACTCCCATCTCCAAAACAAGCAGAGCAACAGGGACTGCAGGTATGACAGAAGTGGTAGAGCAACTGTTTTGGAAGTGCAGATCTCTGAATTTAAACCCCAGTCCCACCAAAAAATGAATAAACATTCCCCTATTTATGGCCACTAGAATTGCTTCCTATTTAGGATTTTGTTAATACAAGAATGGTATGCTGAGCATCTTTGCATATGTCTCTGTGTACTGTCCAAGAATGTCTGTAGGCTAGGTATCTAGATATGCAATTTATGGGTCAAAAGGTAGGAGCATTTAGCTGGGCACTGGTGGCTCAGTCATGCCTATAATCCTAGCTACTAGGGAGGCAGAGATCAGGAGGATCGCAGTTCAAAGCCAGCCCAGAGAAATAGTTTGTGACCCCTTTCTTGAAAATACCCAACACAAAAAAAGGCTGGTTGTGTGGCTCAGTGGTAGATTCCCTGCCTTAGCAACCATGAGGCCCTGAGTTCAAACCCCAGTATCATCAAAAAAAATTTTGATGATAAATTTTTATACTTTTCAATTTTATAATTATAAAACTAAACACTTTAACCACTATTTCCCTTTCTGCTGCAGAGAGTTCTGTCTTGGGAACTGACATTGACCTTCAGACTATAGACAACGATGTTGTCAGCATGGAGATTTTCTTCAAGGCTTGGCTACAAAACAGTGAAACAGACCAAGAGGACATCCATCTTATTCTTCCTTCACAGTGTTTTGGCAATACTTCTAGAGCCAATGATAATCCAAGTACACAGCCCTCAGAAGCTATATTACATAGGGCTAGGGGTGTGACTCAAGTGGTAGAGCACCTGCCTAGCAAGTGTAAGGGCCAGTTCAAACCCAAGACCAAAAAAAGAAAGATCCATTACATAGGCTAATAATATATAAATATAGAATTAGGACTCTAGATTGGTGAGTTCTGAATACAGAGTATTTAAGGTCTTGGGATTGGATAAGTATTAGATAAGGCTGTCCACTGTTAGCATGCAGTGTAAGGAAAGAAGTTCTAAACAGAAAGCTGTATGTGGGTAAGCCCAGCCAGAAAGGGCCAATTAGTTAAGTGGCAAAGTCTTAGATGCTTCCAGGGTATTGACTACACTACATAAGAACACAATGAATCATGTATTTTTCTCAGTATTCTCATTTTAACATTTTCATTACCGTATATTAGTTATATAAAGGGGTTTCGTTGTGACATTTCCATATGTGGAAGTATATGTGACATACATGTGACATTTCTATATATGTCACATACAGTGTACCCCAGTTTGGTTCATCCCTCCCATTATTCTCCCTCTCGTCCCTCCCCCTCCTTAAAATGACTTCGACAGGTTTCAATGTTCCATATTCATATATGTATAGAAAATACTCAACCATGTTCACCCTCATTTACCCTCTTCATTTACCATTCCCTTCCCCTTATCATGCCCTGTTTTACATTCCTGTTCTTCATTGTTTAAGTGACTGTTCATTGGTCAGTGGGGTTTAGCCTTGGTATTTTACCTGTAACTATATTGTGCTTTAATCAGTCTAACCCCCTCTATTACTCTTCCTTAGTCTTTTCCCCTTCCCCATGTAATTCAACAGCTTTCAGTGTGTTTCATTGTGTCTTGTTTCTACACATTTATGATGTATTTCAATATTATTTGCTCTATCATTCTCTTCTTCTTTCCCTCTTCTCCTGTTCTTCTCTAACAGTCCCACTATTGGAAACATATTCTATATGTATAGATAGATATAGATATATGTATATATATGATAATACTTGTATTTATATTTGGGTCTCTCCTCCACACATGAGAGAAAACATGAGGCCTTTGTCATTCTGAACCTGGCTTACTTCACTTAACATGATGTTCTCCAGTTCCAACAATTTACCTGAGAGCAACAAAATTTCATGCTTCTTTATGGCTGTATACTATTCCATTGCACATGCGTGTGTGTGTGCACACATACACCTCTCTCTCTTTCTCTCGTGTGTGTGTATGTGTGTGTGTGTGTGTGTGTGTGTTTGTATTAATCCATTCATCAGTTGTAGGACATCTGGGCTGTTTCCATAGCTTGACTATTGTGAATAATGCTGCAATAAGCATAGGTGTGCAAATGTCTTTATTGTATCCAGACTTATTTTCCTTTGCATATATGTCCAAGAGTGGTATTGCTGGATCATAGAGTAGTTTTATTTTTAGTTTTTTCAGGAACCTCCATACAGCTTTCCATAGTGGTTATACTAATTTACATTCCCACCAACAGTGTATAAGGGTTCCTTTTCCCCCACTTCTTCGCCAATATTTGTTGTTTGTGTTCTTGATGATAGCCATTCTAATAGGAGTGAGGTGGAATCTTAATGTGGTTTTGATTTGCATTTCTTTTATGGCCAGGAATGTTGAGCATTTCTTCATGGTTTTTGGACTTTGTACTTCTTCCTTTGAAAAATATCCATTCAGTTCATTTGCCCATTTCTTCACTGGTTATTGATTCTTTGGGAGTTTAGTTTTGTGAGCTCCCTATAAATTCTAGTTGTTAATTCCTTGTCACATGTATAGCTGGCAAAGATTTTTTCCCATTCTGTGGGCTGCCTCTTCAGTCTGGTTGACCATTTCCTTTGCTGTACAGAAGCTTTTTAGTTTCATGTCATCCTTTCTCTTAATTACTGAGTTATTGGGATTCTACTTCAGAAATTATTGCCTATGCCTATATCTTCCAGTGTTTTCTCTATTCTTTCCTAGAGTAGTTTCAAAGTTTTAGGTCTTAAATTATGGTCTTTGATTCACTTTGAGTTGCTTTTTGTACAAGATGAAAGACCTAGATCTAGTTTCAGTTTTCTATGTTAAATATCCAGTTTTCCCAGCAATATTTTTTGAAGAGGCTGTCCTTTCTCCATCCTATGTTTTGGGCGGCTTTGTCAAAACACAGGTAGGAGTAGCTGCACACATTTATGTCTGGGTCTTCTATTCTATATCATTGCCATTGGTCTTTGCATCTGTTTTTTGTACCCGTAACATGCTGTTTTTATTGCTATGGTTTGAAGTCAGGTATTGTGATAGCTCCAGGGTTGGTCTTTTTTGCTCAGTATTGCCTTGGGTATTCAAGGTCTTTTGTGCTTCCAAATGAACTTTAGGGTTGATTTTTCAATCTCCATGAGGAATATCATTGGAATTTTGAAGGGGATTACATTCCAACATATAGATTGCTTTTGGTAGTATAGTCACTTTCACAATATTAATTCTGCCAGTCCGTTGGAATGGGAAATCTTTCCATCTGATGTCTTCTTCTTTTTCTTTCTTCAGTGACTTATAGTTTTCATTGTAGAGATCTGTCACTTCCTTTGTTAAATTTATTCTAGGTTGTTTTTTTTTTTGAGGCTATTGTAAATGGGATTGTTTTCCTAAATTGTTTTTCAGTCTGTTCATTGTTGGCATATAGAAAAGCTACTGACTTCTGTATATTGATTTTTGTATCCTGCTACTTTGCTGAAGGTGTTTATGATGTCTAGGAGTTTTTTGGTGGAGTTTTGAGGTCTTTTAGGTGTAAGAACATATCTGCAAATAGGGATAATTTGGCTTTTTTTCCTTCCCTATTTGAATTCCTTTTATTTCTTCTTCCTGTCTTACTGCTCTGGCTAGGAATTCCAAACCCACATTGAATAAGAGTGGGAAAAGTGGACACCCTTGTCTTGTTCCTGACTTTAAAGGAAATGGTTTCAGTTCTTCCCCCACTTACTATGATGTTGGCTATAGGTTTGTCATATATACAGTTTATTAAGTTTGAGGCACATTCCTTCTATTCCTAGTTTCATCAGAACTTTTATCAAGAAAGAATGTTGAATTTTGTCAGAAGCTTTTTCTGCATCTATTGAGATGATCATGTGATTTTTGTCCTTGCTCCTGTTTACATGCTGTATTTTATTGATTAATTTACATATGTTGAACCATCCCTGCATCTCTGGAATGAACTAACTTGATCGAGGTGATGATCTTTTTGATATGTTCTTGAATTCAGTTTGCCAGTATTTTACTGAGAAGTTTTGCATATATGTTCATTAAAGAGACTGACCTATAATTCTCTTTTTTTGTTTTGTCTTTATCTGGTTTTGGAATGAGTGTGATATTGGCTTCATAGAATGTGTTTGGTAGTATTCCTTCCCTTTCTATTTCATGGAAAAGTTTGAGGACTATGGGTATTAATTTTCTTTAATGGTCTGGTAAAATTCAGTAGTGAATCCACAAGGTCCTGGGGTTTTTTGTTTTGTTTTGCTTTGTTTTTGAGAGACTTTATTGCTGCTACAACTTCATTACTTGCTATAGATCCATTGGTTCAATTTTGGTTGGTCATGTACACCTAGAAATGTATACATTTTTTCTAGGTTTTCCAATTCATCTGAGTATAGATTTTCAAAGTACTCCCTAATTATCCTCTGGATTTCATTGGTATTTGTTGTGATATCACCCTTTTTCATCTCTAATTTTATTAATTTGGGTCTTTTCTCTTTTAGTCAGATTGGCTAAGGGTTTATCAATCTTATTTATCCTTTTGAAGAACCAACTTTTTTCACTGATTCTTTGTATAGTTTTTTATCTCTGTTTTGTTGATCTGGGCCCTTGTTTTTATCACCTCTCTCTTGCTGGTTTGGGTTTAGCTTGTTCCTGTTTTTTTAGGTCATTTATTTGTTCCTAATGTAGGCACTCAGCTATAAACTTTCCCCTTTGCATCGCCTTTGCTGTATCTCATAAGTTCTGGTAGGTTGTATTTTCATTTTTATTAGATTCCAGGAACTTTTTGATTTTCTCTCTTATTTCCTCAGTGACCCACTGGTCATGCAGCAACATATTGTTCAGTCTCCATGTGTTTGAATATTTTCTATGGTTTCTTTTGTTGTTGAGTTCTAGTTTTATTCCATTGTGGTCAAACAGGATACAGGGAGAATATTCTCATTTTTAATTGGTAGATATTATTGGTGCTATAATTTGAAGCATTCTGGTACCTCAACATAAACAGCATTGCTTGTGACGAGAGGAAGAGAAACAATATTAAGTAGAGATCTTCTCACTAAGGAGGCACCAAATTGAGGAAAAACTAAAGCACCTACAGAGGCAAACAACAGGGAGGATAACAAGTGATCTAAGATCATGTTCACAAAGCAGTTGAGGCAGTTATAGCACCCAAAAGATCAATTCACTGTTCCAGGCATGCCAACAAGGCCCTAGATATTATTCTTGATAGTAATGACACTTTGCTAGATGATAGGGATAAGGCTATTTCTATTCTTCCATTCCTCTTGGAGGTAGGCTCAGGACCTGGGGTGCCAAGGCTGACAGATGGCTTATCAGTACAGTCAGCTACACTGAGTTGGGAAAGTCAATTCCTTAGGAGCTACCTCCTAAGGGAAAGGATCAAGATGTGTCTTTCCTTTAAGATTGGTAGTTTGTATGCATTTTTCTTGTTTTGAACAGAGTATCGATAGTAGCTACAGAGATTCTTGAGGGTTGAAGGCTGAACTGAGGCCTTCCCAGAGGCTTTGACATGACACTATCTCCTCTGAGTGCTCTTTCTTTGCCATTAGCGGTATAATTGAAGTCTCTTTTCTCCAGTTGTAATAGAACTCTGCTATAACCATTGCTTCTTTAGGACAGGGAAAAGTCTTTTGCAAGTATAGCTAAATAGGATTATGATTTCCCTTCTTTCTAGGAAAAGCCATCAGATCTCTGCTTCTCTCCCTCCCCCATCTTTTTTTCTTTTTTTTTTTTTTTTTGTCATCCTGGGGTTTAAACTTAGGCCTAGCACTAGTTAGGAAAGCCCTCTACTTGAGACACCCACCCCCATCCCTTCCACACTCCCATTTAAACCTATGGCTTGGGATGCCTTTGATAACTTGACTATAATCTTTCTTTTGCATATAAAAATCTCATTCCCAGAACTTCCTTTCTATCCAATCCAAAGCTGATAGGAACAATTCTTCCCTATCCCATCCTTACTATTTTCCCATTAAAGGAAGCTGGTAACTTTATACAGAAGCTACTCTATAGTTACTATTATTGAGCCATCCCTCTGTGCCAAGAATTGCGTTAATTCTTTTCCTAGACTTAGCCATTTCATCTTTACACAACACCATGAGGCAAGTACTATTACCATATGCTGATAAAACTAAGATTTATTAATTATTTGATACACTACTATACTGTGTACCACTAATAATGAAAAAGTTGGGCTAGAGGCTCAAGGGGTATGAAACCCTGAGTTAAAACCCCAGTATCACTCCCCCACAAAAAAATGAACATGACACAGGGCTTTCTTGTCACTTAGAAGTATTGTTTTATCTTTATTGAGAGTTCTTTTAGGTTAAAGTAGTAAGTGTTAAGAGTGTCTGCCTGGCCAATGGCAATTAATTGTAAGACAGATATAGAGATGTTAGTGTGTGAAAAATGTGTCTTCAACTAAATATTATCCCTACTTTATACATTATAAAACTGTGACAGAGAAATTAAAAACTTTCCAAGGACTGCACAAAAAATTAACAGCAAGGCTAGGATTTGAAGTCAAGCAATTCCAGGGCCCACTCTTCACCCTTAGAATTAGAAATCTATGTTTTGTACATTCGACCATTCTCAGCCCAGAGAATGTTTACCAAATGCAGTTCTATCTGCCTCCACAACTAGAGACTTTCTCCACCACTAACCTGCCTCATGCTAAACAAAGGGGCTAGAAATTCACTTCTCTCATTAGAAGGACCAGGTCCCCTCAAAGGCCTTGCCTCCACTGTTGCATGACATCTGCCTATAGCACCACCAGAATTTCTCTGGCTTCTCCCCACACAACCTTTTTCAGCACCAGGGTCAGAGTCAGAATGTTCATCTTCATCTGTAATCATGTTTCAGAATTCCACAGGTCTTCAGAGTGCATGTAGAACACAGATATATTCCTGTTCTGCTGAGGAGGTTCTCACTGGAATCCAGATGTCAAACACAGTTGGAACAAGGTCTGGAGAGATTAGGCCTTCTGTAGAGTGATGAGATCCACCTAAGATTATAAACTACAATAAAGATCACGCTGTAGTTATCTTTTATTTTTAAAACTGATGAATTGCCACATATATGGATTTCTGGGACATGTGGCTCGTACAAAAAATGAAACAAAACAAAATGAAAACCCTGTGCTCCCCTACTATAGACTCTTTGGAGGAGTGCCCCTCCTTCCAAGGTTCTCCAGTTTACACGATCTGCTTCTTTGCTGCCTAGGACCCTTCACCCCATCTCTTGGTGCTTCCCTTAGAGTATGCAGGCAGTTACAGATGAGTGTCTTCTTGTTCTCTGGTGTGAGCTCTTCAACATCTTCACCAGGGCTCTGGGTGGCAAGAAGTACACATGGGCCTAGATTTGAGCCCTGCTAAACGTCTTTCCCAGCTTTGGAACATGGCTGTGATTATAGTTCAGGTAGTTCTCAGCCCTGGCTGCACTAAGAATCACATGATGAACTTTGTAAAAGTACCTATTTCTGGGTTCCATCCCCAGAGATTCTGATTTAATTGGTCTGGCCCAGACATCGATATATTTTAAAAAGTTCTCCAGGTGATTCTAACTGCAGCAAACATTGAGAACTTCAGCCAGATGAACACAGCTGCCCAGTCCTAAAGCCCAGGGCCTAGATATGAAGAAGTCAGTCACAGAAGAAGTGAAGGGGAGCTGGAGTCCTAAGGAAAGTCCCTCCTACTGACTTCCTGGGCTCTAAGACCTACAAGGACAAAAGCCATCTCACCTGAAATTAATGTCTACATCTTATTAACTGGACCCAGGAGGGTTAGCTAGATCTCACATCTAATCTGCCACAATGCTTTGTCCCATGTTATTTCTTCTTTTATTTTTATCTCATGTTTCAGCTATTCCAGTCATTTCTCAAATCACTACCTTAACTTCTCACAGCTATTCAACATTTGTATTTTTGCTATCAGTATTCAAACAAGGTACATGTTTTATTGAAAAACTTTGTAATATCAAGGATTTGATAATGCAACAGAACATTGAACCCTGTGGCATGTGAAGGCAACTGCTAGAGTAGAAGCTTAATATGGAGGAGTATAATATCTAGATGACTGTCTCATACCTAGACTAAGCACTCTTCAGAAGTATTGTCTGATGATACATTTGAGCTTAAGGTCCTATACTCAGGTTTCTTTGGGGAACTAAAAATAAGCTATTTCAGAGACTTATTCCTCCCATACCCCTGAATGTCCCTAGAAGAACCACAGATAAACAATAGCTGTCAGCTGATTGCCTGACTTCTGCTTTCCTGCATCTAACTCACAGTCTTGCCAAAGCTTAGCCACAGGGAAGCAACAGAGGCAAGATTTCCTTCTGTGATTGCCAAAGAGCCTCTGCATATTTTGGCGTTTGCTTCCTGCTCCGCAGAGGACACATGTTCCTCTTAGGTTGGGTTAGAAGCCAGATCTGTCAATATGAAAAAAGTGCTAGGTCAGACCAGAAGTGAAACAAGTAAAAAATCATGTCAGACCCAGAAAATAAGCTAGCTATTGTGTAAAGTAATAGCTATACTTCAGGTTGCAGACCTGTTCTGCCTTCTCAAACCAATCATGCTTCCCTCTTCCCACTCTCCTCCTCCTCCCTCCACTTTTGGCCTGGTAGAGCAGAGTAGGGTAGCAGATGTTGTCTCTTAATACCATAGCCTGAGGAAACTTGTGACCCACAATCTCCCCTCTAATGCCATTTTTATTATAGTATGCCTGAAATGTGATCTCCAAGAGCGACTTCTCAGCCCATCCCTGCTCCCTGGAACAGCTGATGGCACCTTGAGAATGGATGACCCCAAAGGAGACATCAGCACACTCTACCAGATGGCTTCCCAGTCATCAGCCTCTTGTTATAAGCTCCAAGTGATCAAGTATGGTCCAGAGGGAACCTCTTCAATCCATGCAAATGCTATTCTTACTGGTTCCATGGCTAGGAAGTCCAGAGATTTAGAATATATCTCTTAAGTGTGGGTCAGACGAGAGTCAGCTCAAAGGTAGTGGTTACAAGCATGGCATGGAAAAGCATGGTCAGGCTATTCAGCAGGTAGAGGCCAAGAGAACAGGTTTTGGAAGAAGTGCTGCAGCAGAACACTTGGAGGTCTGCATGAGAATTGGAAACCCAGAAAGTCTCTGAACACAGAGAAAAGCAGAATCAATGGAAATGTATTCAACCATTCAGTGAATTGAATGCCTACTGTATTTAGGCATCAGTACATAATGATCCAACTTTCAAGGAACAAGTGATAGACAGAATTGACCCTCTTCCCCTCCCATTTCTCTAAGACCTAGATTTCCTGCTTCCAGGGGAACCAATTCAAGGGTAGAATTAACAATGATGGCAAAGGCCACTTTTACTGTTTTATAGTTTATGAGCCTGGGTTCCATTCTTAAACTTTGACAATCTTCTGTGTGCCAGATTCCATGCTTGGTTGTGGTCATACAAAGATGAATATTTTACAGACCTTAGGCCAAAAGCTCTCACAAAAGGGTCTTAGATTTAAGTGGATGTAGGTAGAGGTTCTAGATGTCACTAAGGAGACTTTCATTGTCTTTGTTTCTTTCTAGGGCTCTTAAATCTAGTGGGCTCTGTGAGTCATTGACATATGGACTCCCCTTCATCCTCAGACCCACAAGCTGTTGGCAGCTAGACTGGGATGAGCTAGAGACAAATCAGCAGCATTTTCATGCTCTGTGTCACAGTCTATTGGTGAGTATCCATGTCCTGGGTGAAAAAGAATGTTCAAATACCAATTACAGGAAAGCAACAACTAACCCTTCCCTAATCCCAGCTTTACCTCAACCCTCAAGAGGTAGAAAAAAACCTGAAAGTACCCTGAAATTTGGAGTAAATATGACTTGCCTTGTTGAATGACCCTAAAGGAGATGTCAGCACACTTTACTAGATGGCTTCCCAGTTATCAGCCTCCATTACAAACTCCCAGTGGTCATATATGGTCCAAGGGGACCTCCGCAATCCACACAAATGCCATTCTTACTGATCACATAGGAAGTTCAGAGATTTAGAATATATCTCTAAGTGTGAGTCAGGCAAGAGTTAATTCCAAGGTAGCACTTACAAGTATGGCATAAAAAAAAATCAAGATTGGGCTACTCAGCATGTATAGAGAATAATTTCTGAAATAAGTTATATAACACAAAACTTGAAAATTCCTTATATATAAGCAACATTTAAGTGGCAACAAGGAATTTTCCCTTAATAATGTTATTTTAAAACCCACTTCCTAACACTGTGCTGGACATTATAGTTAATTTAAATTAAGATCTCATGGTCTGTGGAAGATACTGTGCTAAGTCCTAGATACATATTCAGTGGTGACACAATAAACATTATCTATGCCCTCAAGAAACTTTCTAATGGAAGAGGCAGAAATACACACACACATTCAATAAATATATGTTTATATATTTAATATATATTTATATAAATAGTATATAATATTTATATATTTAATATATATTTACTCCTGTGTGTACATATGTATATAATTCTTAATTAGAAATATATTCTTAATTATATTCTTAATGTGAAGGATCAGTAAATACATATAATTTACTCCTGTGTAAATATATATGTGGTGTGATGTTTACAAAAGAAGAGATTGCTATAAGACAGTCTATCTGTAGAAGTGACATTTAAACTGAGACATGTAAGGATCAAATCATGCAAAGCTTTGTAGTCCAGATTAAGAAGTTTGGACTTTAAGTAGGGAAAAAAATCATAAGAAATGATACCATCTATTTAAAATTTTTAAATATTACTTGAGCAGAAATTTGTAAATGAGTAGAAAAAGCAAGATTGAAAACCAGAAAAGAAGGTGTAAGTGTACCTTCTTTTCGTAGTCTAGACTAAAGATGATAGTGGCTTTAGCTAAAGTGCTAGAATGTTGGAAGTTAAGGTGAGAAAAACACAATAGAGAAATATTTTAGATATAGAATCATTAGAACTTGCTGAAAGACTGGAGATGGAGAATGAGGTAGAGGAAATATCAAATAACTGCTCAGTTTCTGATGAATAAGTTGAATGTCATTCCCTGAAATGGAAACAAAAGAGCACACATAAAATCAATGCAACACTTAGAAATCAAACAGAAGAACTGCAAAGAGAATCCAAGAAAAGGTATGTAATAAAGATTGACCTAGTAGAATATGAATAATCAAGACAGCACAGCTCTGTGTCTCTTTCACTATCAGTTGCAGACTTCTTTTCCTGTTTCAAAGCCCACACTCCCTTATAGGGTCCACCCACTGAGTTCCTATTTCCTATCTGAAGAACACCCACCTCCTGTCAAAGACAACAGACCAGTTTTAAGTTGTTAATGTCCAATAGCTCAGTTTACTATTTATCCTGCGTAACTCCTCAGAATCTGGGAGGTGATATATCACTTGAGAGGAATTTCTCCCAAATAGCTTTAGGGATTCTTATAGTACATGATATTTTAAACATCCATTACTATTTTAACACAGTGCTAGAGGTAGCATAAATTTTTCTGGAAAATGATACCTTTCAACACTTCTGCTAGAATGTAGCCCAAAAAGAGAGTCAGAAAAGGGAGTAGAGATATATGTACAGGATGTTCATTTCAGTGTTGTTTACAATGATTAAAAAACTGGAAACTACCTAGGGCTGGTGGAGTGGCTCAAGTGGTAGAGCGCCTGCCTGGAAACCATGAAGCCCTCAGTTCAAATCCCAGTGCTACCAAAGAAACAAACAAAAGCAACAAGCTGTTCCCACAGCTTGTTCTCAACCAAGACTTTGCCAATAAACTCCTAACTGGCTTCTCTACTCCAGTTTCTCCATTTTCTAATTTGCCCTGCACATTGGCACCATATTAATCTTCTTGAAGCATTTCCATATCATATTTTTTTCCATGTGCCAATACCCAATCACTTACTAAGCCTTGATTGTTCTATTCCTCACATCTATTGCATTTGTCTTCTTTCCATTATTATTACTACGTCCTATTCAAGCCCTCTTTTTACCTGTCCTTTATTACTGCAGCAATCTCTTCACTTGTTTCAATGCTTTCTGTTTCCCTCTCAATCCATTTTATATACTGCCACAGATTAACAGTGCTGAGCCTGTCACTCCTTGCCTTAAAAATATTTTGTGGCTTGCCAGGCACCTCTGGCTCATGTCTATAATCCTAGTAACTAAGGAGGCAAAGATCAAGAGGGTCATAGTTCGAAGCTAGCATAGGCAAATTGTTCTCAAGACCATATTCAGAAAATACCCAATACAAAAGAGGGCTGGCAGAGTGGCTTACTATTGTTTATACCATAAAATTCATATTCCTTCACCTAGTATTCAAGGTCCAGCCTTATCTCCCATGATTTCCCTTCATGTACCATACACTCCAGCCAAATTAAAATGCAAGCCTTAAATTTCCCCACCTTTGAACCCTTTGTTCATATTGTACCTTCTCTCATCTCCATGTGTTCAAATCCTAAAGACCAGCCCAAATGTTGCTTCTTTGATGAGACCTTTCCAGATTCCTTACTATTAGGCTTTGTGTACTCTATTCTTTTTTAGAGAAAAGCATGTTTCAAGTAGTTTTTTAACTGTATGATCCTGATTTGTCTTAAACTCTATGATGTAAATTTGACTTGTCCCAAATTCCAGTAGTTGTATTTTCCTGGTATTTCTACCAGTTCCTCACTTTACCAACCAATTCCTCAGCCTTAGTAAAATTTGGGTCCGAAGTAGAAACCCTCTGTTCTCAATTGAAAGCCTGGTATAATGTGTGTGTCCCCTCCCCTTTGAAGGCCTCAACTTTTATCACTGTCTCCCAAGTCTGCTGAAGTTTTTTTGTCTCCAGACCCTTAGTATTTGGCAAATTTGCTGAGTGAAGAATTGGCTTGAATCCCATTCCTCCCCACCACCAGCTCTCTACCAAAACAGCTGTTGGATTCTCTGTTCCCTTGCAAGTACCTCAGCAGGTAGAAATCCTAGATTCTGAGCCCTATAGCCACCATCACCATCACCCTTCATCCCAAAATTAACATATTCCTCAGGGTAAAAGAAGCTACAATAATTCCCCCTTCTCTCTGGATTTTTCCCTTTCCAGAAACTGAGCTGCTTCTAGTTCTCATTGCTTCAGTATCTCCTCACTGCCTTCAAACAAATGGTCTCTGTAAATTATTTAGCTTTTCTGGTTGTTCTAGACAGGAGAAGCAGTCTGCCAATGACCACTCCAACCCACCCAGATGTAGAAGTATATGCTTATTAAATGCTCATTTATTTCCTTTTGCCATCTGACAAGATATATTTTCTAACTTACCCTCAGCCAGTTGAGTGGTTCCACCATGTTTTCATTTTCAAGCTCTGGGATTTGCTTACATGTGAAAGTGTATCTCAGTTTACTCAATGCTGTCTCTTTCCCCACCTCTTTTTTTTTGAGCAGTTCTTTTGAACAAAGTCCACACTGCGATAATTGAGTCCTAGTAGTTAATACCATCCCACCAGGCTCACCAACTATAAATGTTGTGTTGTGTTTTCAAATTTCATTTCACAAATACTCTAAGCCTTAGTCAGCTGCAACCTTAAATATAATTTCCATTCCCTGAATTATTGTATCTTTCTGTCTTCCTTGGAGATTATTTTGTTTTATTTGTATATTTTACTTCATTTTCCTCAGAAGATGAGCTTTCTGAAAGAGGTGTTGTCTACCATTCCCATAAATTTCACTCTTAGATTAATTCAGACCATAAGAGAACTGTGTGTTCTTTTTTTTTTTTTCCAAAGACTTTATTTTTTTTGGTGGTGCTGGGGTTTGAACTCAGGGCCTCACGCTTGCTAAGTAGGCACTCTACCACTTGAGCCACTCCACCAGCCCGAACTGTGTGTTCTGACAGCATTCTCTGGTGCTTTTATAAAAGATCTATATCTGAGAATTATTTGATTAGTTTTAATTTAGCAAAATTAAATAATTAACTGATAGTTATTAAATGTATTTTTAATTAAAAATTTAACATTTCATAGTACTTGCTGTGTACCTGACACAGTTCTAAAACACTTTACAACTATTAAATTATTTTATCCCCATAAACATCCTATAAGGTAGGAATTATTATTTCTGTTTTACAGAAGAGGAAGCTGAGGCCTAGAGAGTAAATGGTAGAGCCAGGATTGAACCCAGAGATACTGGCTCCTGGTCCCAAATTCTAACCACACTCTTACAGCCACATGAAATTCATTACCACACTGATGGAAGGAGATCTCTGAATCATATTCACTACTAACCACAAGACAGTTTCTCCTAGGCTTTATATCAGGGAAAGCTGTAAGGATCCCTTCTGGCAAAAGTAGCTAGTTTGTATTTCTGAGAGTTTATCTAATCCTGGCTCTATTATTGCTCTACCCTCATTTTTCCTTCTCCCAATTTCCTTAATTATTTATGCTTTATTTCTTTTAACTCAGGGCCTTAAGCTTGCTAGGCAGGCAGTCTACCACTTGAGACACTCTACCAGTCCTGTTTTGTCTTCTGTATTTTTGAGATAAGGTCTTGCAAACTATTTGCCTGGGCTGGCTTTGAACCATGATCCTCCTCTACCTCCTGAACAGCTAGGATTAGCTGGGCCACCAGGGCCCAGCAATTATTTACCTTTTTGTACTGTTGCACTTTTCTAAATTGGCATAACTGCTTTGTGGAATGTGGTAGGGTATAAATATGTAAGTAAATAAAATTA